GTTAAGATTCACTTTTATGTTATTTAATGAATGTTTATGAAGAAACACTGAGTGGCTCTGTTCATAAATACCTGATGTTAACGTGTGTGAAGTGTTTTTACATATATTTTCATGTCTGCATTGACTGGATTAAAATGCAGTGGCTTCAACAGACCTGCAAACACTGGCTGAGTAAGAAAAATATGAATCCTACACTAAGGTCGAAGGTCAGAGTGGAAACCACCATATGTTGTTGAACAAACTGAAGCCGTGCTGCCGCCTGCTGGTTGCATTTATACAACACTTTGATCCGAAGTGAACAGTTTTCCTCTGATTCACACTCACAGCAGTGACTGTGAGCGAGTCACTCTTTGGAGACAAGAAACTTTGTAGTTGTTTTGCTTCACACTCATTAAAAAGTAAATTAAACATCTGAGTGATTTCTGAAGTTGACAACAGTAAAAAAAAGTCTTAATTATTTGTAGCCAATTTTAATATGGATCATTAATATATTAATTGCTAACAACTAATGTCCTGATGTCATGATGATTTACAATAATTTAGATGTTTTTTTAAATTAATATCCAAGTGTCTTCATTTGGCATAAAGTTGCAGCTGTGTTGTAATACACCAGGTTTACCAATAGATGTCAGCAGAATTAGAGTTGATGAGATCCAGACCTCCAGTCTGAGTCACTTGTTCAGGGGTTTGATATTTGTCAGAGACCGAAACACCTCAGCTCTCTGTTTTCATGTCAGACTGCAGAGTGAACCACTGTAAACATCTCCCTGGAGGACGAACATTTAAAACACAGCAAATATGATTTCCTGCTGTCAGCCACAGCTGTAATCTGCTCTGTGTTGGTCTGAACATTTGGATTAAGACAATTATTATTTTGTCAAAATCGCACTTCAATTTGCAAAGATGAAAAAGGAAAAAAATCATCATATATTCACTTTTTTTTTGTGAAACGTTACACACAAATTGAAATATGAAATAGTTGACGCATCATTTCCTCTATGTTGGTTTCAGGGTTAAGCAGACGCAGACACACAAACACTGAACTGAAACTTTCTGGTGTTAGATTTACAGCCACTCACTGATGTTCGCGCTGATTATAATCCACAGTTGTGGTTTTGTTTATCTTTAATCTTTGCTACAATCACTCAAGATAATTATCAGCCGGCCACAACAAAACAGAAGAAACTCAGATTCATCACATCAGATGACCTGATGAAACCCAGAAGCACACAAGAAAATCAACAAGTGAGAAGAAGACTTTATTGATCCTGCAGAGAAACCAGATCTCTGCTGCAGGAACAACTACACAACCAAACAAACACAAACTACAATTAAAATATATAAATTAGAGTGAAGTTACAGCTAAGAGTAACTCGAGGTGTATTAAATGCACTCCGGTCTGATGGCCTGGTCATCAGTGGTTGGACGGGTGAACTTCTTCACTGAAGAGTAGATGACCTCTGGCTTTGATGGCGTCTCTGATCACAAAGACACACAATTCAAACAACATGAAACACAGTTGTAGAAAAAATGAAGTCAACCTTTGCAACACAAATCTGTATTGATTAAGGGCAGAAGAGCTCCTGATACTCCCACATGACAATCTAACGTGCAGATTAAGGAATTATAGTGACCTCTGACCTCTGTGGCCTCACATGAATAAATGCTGGTTTCCTTGTTTCACTTCATCACGTTTCCCTCCACACATAACTAAGAAACTTTTTTTTAAAAGATTCAGAATACCTTCAACCATTATTATAGCATTAACATTATTATTTTCTTTTTAAAGATGTTGTTATGTTTCCTTGATAGTTCTGGTATTTTAAAATATGTAGACATTCCCTATGATTAATGTTTTATATGTAGAATACTGCAGATGAAATGGGCATCTGTGCAGCACCTATGCTGGCATAATGCATTCGTTTGCTTAACTTATCCAAAAATCTCACACTGAGCACCAAACATTTAGGATCTGTTTTTACTGTGTTACTAACCTGACCCTCAGGACAGATGTGCACAATGACCACATCTGATTTGTGCAAGATTTATTCAAACTAGCATTGCTCCTCACAGAGATATAAAAATATAAACAATACTACCTCTGGCCTCTCTCGCTATCTGCTGAGGCTCTTGTGCTATTTTGATTTCGCTGTACGTGGTGTCATCTGTGATGGCATCTTCTCCAGCTTCTTGATCAGCTGAACCAAAATAAAGTAAAACATGATTTAAAAACACTCAGAGTGGGCCTTTCTTTATAAATGTAATTAAAAGATTGAAATGATAATATTAGCACTTTATAATAGAGCCGTCAATTTAGATGCACCCTAATCTACCATGTAGCACAGGTGTCTTCTACATTTAGGGTTTAGTTTTCAGTAAACATATTTAACTGTTTGAAACAATCAATAATCCTAAAGTAAGAAGGGGAGGTTAGGAGAGTCTATGAAAACAGCCTGAACTGCAAAAGACAACAAAGTGAAAATGGACATTAGGATAAACTGTAATATAATAAGTTGTAATAATGTAACATTCAGAGCAAGTATTTGTACCTGACCATACCTTGAAGTCACAGAGTAATATTTCATGATGATAAAAGTAACACTTCATAACACAACCACTGACTTATTTTGTAAGTTGCTAACAGTGACCATGTGTTTCTTCTAAATGAGGGGTATGTTGTTAAAAATGCATTTACTATAATTCACACCTACATATGAAACCTGATGAGGAAGCAGTGAATGTTTTCAGGTAGTGAAAATAACACTTTACATTCCAAACATGATAAATTTTGGGAATTCACACCATAGTGTTTGAGCTGTAATGTGACAACATGCACTTACAATGTAGACACAAAATATAAATATAATAAATTGTTTAAATGTACAAACCATTTAGCAAAATTAAGCCACACATGCAAAAACCAGAAGTTTGAGTCTCACCTTCAAGTTTTCTGCAGACACATTCCCTCGTCACTAGAACCAGTAACAACAGCAGAACCAAAACACAGACTGATCCAAAGGCCAACACAGCAAGTAGAGGAGGTAACGCAGGTGGAGAAGTGAATGCAGGTGGAGCTGCAGTGATGGGTTTTTCTAAATGAGCCGAAGAAAAAGTTATTTTCATGCACTGAATGCTTGAATACTGAATACAGAGACAGGTGAGTGTGTCACCTGTGACAGTGATCCAGCTGGATGGAGACTCTCCATGACCGCTGATGTCACACTTGTAGAGGCCTTCATCAGACCTGGAAACATGCTGGATGGTCATGTGACCTGTGATCTCGTTGCTGATAAGGGAGCCATCTTTATAGAAAGCAGCTGGGAGGTTGGAGGAATTCTTTTCTTCGCAGAGCAGAGTGACGTCATCTCCCTCCATCACAGGGAGGACAGGACTCTGCAGGATCACTGATCCACCTCAACACAGAGACAAACTACAGCATTTCATCCATTTACACACAGCTTCATCAACACTAACTCCACACACTCAGCTTACCAGTGACTGTCAGGTTAACCATGTTACTGATGGGACCCTCTCTGGACTCACACCAGTAAACTCCACTGTCCCATTGGACACCATAGGGGATGTTACAGGAAGAACCAGCACCTTCTCCCCAACTGTCATTGTGATTTCCACACTCAGCTCTCGTGTCTCTGTTTGTGTTTCTCCTCAGAGTCCATCCAGCAGAGCTGTCGTCCTCCTCACAGCTCAGAGACACAAAGTCTCCTTCAAAGAACTGAGAGCTGCTGGGACTCACAGTCAGACGAGCTGTGAGGTAAATACGATAAGAAGTCATCCAAACATTGGGCATTGTGTTAGTTCAGGCAGATCAATTAATTAACTCGGCTTATCTCAGTTAAAGCACACATAAAGTGATGGCTGTTATTACTGTTATCCTTCTATGTATCCAAATTGTTGAAACCTTTAAAAAACACATTATTTACAGCCTGCTTTAGCCTCAATAAACAGTATTGAGGCTAAAGCAGGGATGTTTAATTCAAACATCCCTAACCGGAACAATAAATGAAAGAGACACATAACTATGAAAAATAACTAAACAAGATAACCATAGATGACTACAAAAGACAATTCACCTCATGACTCACATTACAACCATGTGAACTTTGTGTCATGTGACTATATTTCTAGTCTCTTTATTTTTCTTCTAAAAATGGAAATGGCAATCTTATTTATTTTTCATTGGACCTTGGTAGTAACTTTAAACAGCACAAAACTCATTGTATCCAATCTTGGTCCTTGGAGCAGACCCTGGGTTTATCTTTTTTATACAGTACATGTACGAAACAAGATATTCTAGCTCCTTTAAGTCATCTTTCTTCTGACTGGCTGTTCCTCACAAACAGAAGGCTGGACCAGAAGGTGAGGTTCTGTGCCCAAATGACTAAATTAGGGGTATCTGCTCTCTCTGACATCAGAAATAGAGAAAATTGAATTAAACTGAGATTTTAGTGTGGTCTGAAGTCTGGGTCACAGGGATTAATTATACATACACTGATCTCATTAAAAACTTTAGCCATGTTTAGTATGAACGGGAATTAAAGGGGGAAAGTTAATTAGGTCACCTGTAGAAAGCATGTAAATATACCGATGGACAGATGTGCACTGACGGCAAGACACAGAATTGAAGTCAAGTTGAAATAAAAATATACTGCAAACAGAGCAAACAGACCACTGATTGCTTGAAGCCACAGCGGAAAAAAAATGTTGCAGAGAAACATAAAATTCCTGTGTGATATATTCAAGTCTTTTGAAAAATGTACCAACCTCGGGAGGGTCTGCAACACAGCAGCGAAGTCAGCACTGAGGAGAAATGACACATGGGTTGGTGTTAAATTAAAAAAAACGAAACGAGCAACACTAGTCTTCTTCAGATGACTGAGACAGTGGAGTGCTATTATTACACTGTGTTCACAAAATGCTTTGATGCTGGTAAGTATTTCCTCTTTCCTAATTTTCTCTGTTTTTGGCTTTGGCTTTTGTTGCATATTAGTTACACTTACGTGTTTCAGATCTTCATGCAAATTTTTATACTGAAAAAATAACCAGAGTAAATACAGAATAATTGATGATTTAAAAGATGATTTCATTTATTCAGGAAAAAATAATCCAAATCTACCTGGCTCTGTGAGGAAAAAGTCATTGAAAAGCAAGATGCAATTTGACCAGCCACACCCAGGCCTGGTTACCAGTGTTGGGTAAGTTACTTTAAAATAGTAACTTAGTTACATTACTAGTTACTTCTCTCAAAAGTAACTCAGTTACTTCAAGTTAATCGTTACTTTCA